GTCCCTTCTAATCAATTGCAGACCTTAGCAAATATGTTGGTGAGATGCCAATACATCTGGTACAGCTTTAAGTGGAACCTTCACTCCAACCCTGCGCTGACCTGGAGCTCCCCATTGGCTGAGGTCATGTTTGGTTAGGCGGCTTCCGGGGACTGAATTCTGGCCATTTTAACTGGCCAGGCCGAGGTGATGTGAATTTCCTAGGGACATTCCCAGAGTCCCAGAGTTCACACCGTAACGCACACATTTCCATGTATTTCCCGCACGCTACCATTTTTGAATGGGCTACAAAATGTATTGGAACATGGAAAAATTAGTGCAAGCACTACTTTTTTCAGAATGCACTGCACCAAACCACATGGTGCGGTGATACCTTGCAAATTGGTGGCAAGATGCGTTTGGGATGCCATTAAAAATTCATTGGCACACATATAGGCAGCACTTTCCCATGCCACGTTTTGGTGTGAACCAGCCCTAAATGTGGACAGAGTAGGAGATAGCCAGACAGGATTAGGTTGGAGGCTCCAGAGGATGGGAGAGACTCTGGAGAAGTTCTATAGGTGAGCATAGGAAGATGTGATGGTAGAGAGCTTGAGGTCTTGGGAGAACCAAAGAGGAAGGTTTAGGTGATTTACTGAGATGACTGATTGGTGATATAGCTGGGGGCAGAATTGTGGATGACTTTGTATATTCTATATACCTAACTGTAGCACTACCCCCTTATAGGTTGCTGAGTTTTGGGTCCCCCTAAAGCTCTGAACAGCCAGGCAACATGCATTTTCTTCCACTTGCACACGGGAGTCATTAAACAGTCCTTGAGCTTGGTTTTGTGATTTTTATTAAGGGGTTCAAAACTTGGATGTGGTCTATAGGTATATGGGATGCAGAAACCGAGGACAAACTCCCCAGCCACTACGTACAAAAAATGTGGATAGCAACAGTCTCTTCTTTGAGAACACAAAAGGCTCTTTGGTGTACCTCCTCTTTTTGGATGATTCCTCCTCTTCACCCAACTGCCTTGAGGATATCCTTGGGCAAGAGGGCCAAAGAACTATAAATTTAGCACAGTCCCAGAAAAAGATTAGTTGTGTATTGCACCTGACCGCCCTCTCCCCTCATCTGGCCCAGGGGGTATAGGAGTACTCACTCTGTCTTTCCATGTTAGCTTAGTGGGTTGGTGGCTGCCTCCAGGCCTTCTGCTGGGCTGGCTCCTTACCTCTTTCACAAGCTGTCCTCCCAAGGAAACGATGGGAAAGAGGAGAACCTCCCTTCCTGCTTTTCCAGGTCTGTGTTCGGATCAAGGGTCTGGTAGTATTTTAAGGGGGACCCCATGTATTTCCCCCCCCCCTTTGGGGGGTTCCCCTTAAAAGTCCTACCAGGCCTGAAGGGTCTGGTATGGCTTTTAGGGGGATACTCACGCTCTTTACAAAAAAAAAAAAATTACTGTGGGGTCCCTCCTAACCTTTCTATCAGATCTAAATGTCTGGTAAGGATTAGGGGGAAAACCCTATGCAATTTTTTTTTTTACAAAAATGTTACTTTTAAAAAAAATATCAGTCCTGCTGCAGCAGGTTCTATACATTGTACAGCTGTGCAGCTTTGCAGGTAGTTTTTTGTTTTTTTTAATTTTAAGTAATGAAAAATAACTACCCCTTTAAAAACGGTGCTTTTTGAAAGGTTTTTTCACGGATACATGTCCCGCAGGGCAGTAACGGAGTCCCCATACCCCTTTTATGGACAATACCTGCATAAAAGCCTTCTAAATTGGTACTTTTGAATTTACAAATTCAAGTCCCATAGACTTGCATTAAGTTTGAAGTTCACAGTCAAACATTCATTAGGTTCAAATGTTCGACCGCGAACCGAACATGGGGGTGTTTGGCCCATCACTACTGGTGTGGAGGATTCTGAGGGGCTCAGTGCTTTCTGATTTGAACAGTGCTACCTTGCTTAGCTGAGGGCTGGGAAGTCAGAGGATTTGCAGTGTCAAGCGCTTTCAAGTGTGCATTGTAATTTTGGGACACCACTGTGTGAAAGAGCACTAGTTTACTCCATCAAAGTTTTTTTCTGCACTTCATGGGCCAGGCCTTTTGGCTGAGAGAGGGACAATTTTCATTACCAAGCCGCAAGGCTTCGCCTTTGTCGAGTACATTGGCACATTTTATTTATTTTTTTCTCCCGCTGTCTATCATTTCTTCTTCTTTTTTTGTGTATCACCTTTTCACTCAGGATGATAGGATGAAAGTCTTCAGGATGTAGGCCATCAAGTTACTTCCTCTTCAGCCTTGAGAAGTCTCTTTTTGTGAGAACCTCCCATCCAGTACTCGGTGGTTGGCTTTGGCTGATCATGAGGAGCGAGGTCCACCGGGCCTTTTGGCTAAGTGGACCTAAATGTGCCATGACCTCGTCAATGGTCTTGTGCCTTGGAAGATCAGGAAGGTGTCCTTCCTCTTAGAGAGGGAACCAACTTCCCACCCGAGTCATTGGTTGGCTTTGGCTGATCACGAGGAGTGGGGTCTAAAGGTCCTTTTGGCTAGGTGGACCTGAGTGTGTCATGACCTTGTCAGTAGTCTTGTATCTTGGAAGATCAGGAAGGGGTCCTTCCTCTTAGGGGGGGAACCGATCTCCAACCCGAGTCATTGGTTGGCTTCGGCTGACCATGAGGAGCGGGGTCCAAAGGTCCTTTTGGCTAGGTGGACCTGAGTGTGCCATAACCTCGTCAGTAATCTTGCGCCCTGGAGGATCAGGAAGGAGTTCTTCCTCTTTCGGAGGGGACCATTTGACACACCCTAGTGCACTTTTTTGTTTTCATATGCACGGTTTTTGATACACTTTGGTGTTTCGTTTTTGTACACTGCACAATGAGTATTGCAAAAAAAACCTTCAGCGTGAACACTTCCTTGCCAAATATAATACAAGGATTTGGACTGAGTTGGCTTTTAACCTTGGCCATAATAAAAGTAAAAAATTACAGATCTCACAGGTCGATGCACACTACCCCAGGAGGGAAGGGCTATGGTTGTTGTCCTGCCGCACACCAAGCCCCCATTGCACTTACAGCCATCTACACTACCCATTCTTACAGAGTGTATCCAGAACAAGTACCCTTCTTGCTCCTCACTGTACAGGTTCCCGGGATTAAAGCTAAAACAGATGTTTCTTTTAGTTTCCTCATTCTGTTATTTGAGGAATAAAACATCAGCAGAAGTGTTAACTGAGCCGACACAACAGATGGAAAAGCTGGAGTAAAAAGAGGGTGAACTATTTTTAATGTCCTTATTGTACGAGGGTGACCTGGATGGCGTATCGTTAATCACCAGGCGCAGCAGCACCCATCCCGTCTCTCCTGCCACAGTAAATGTGAAAAAAGAAACTAATTATAATTTATGTTGAAGTTTTCCAGTAACTCTGGAAACTATTTTTACAGTCTCTTTCCTAGCAACACATGCAACCAATCTAAAATTGGTGTTCACCGATCTGACCCCAGTAAACAGAAGTAGGAGTTGTTATTGGGAACCACTTTCATTTGCTCATCATAGCGAGTGGGGGCTCACATAAGCCCCCTTTTGGCACTTTTGTGTATAATGTTGGTCCTGCATGGGGCCCAATTCACAAATCTTTATAATCTAAAGGATCTTTAGTTGTAGCTATATGACTTTCAGTTTTAAATCTCATAGAGCACAGCTGAAAATACCTGTCATTTTTTTTTTAAAAGAGAAGTAGGGCCAAAGCTTTTTTTTTGGCTATATTTTTTTTGAGGTTCATGTTTTATTCTCCTGTGACCCAGATTCCCCAGGGCTGCCTGATTGACAGATGGCTTCACCTTTAAGCACACAGCTGAGAGCCTGAGTGAGCCATGCCTGCCCCCTCCCAAGCCTGGAGATTTAGGAGCAGACTAAGAATTGAGTGATCAGCAGTCAAATGATTGCTCAGTTCTCAGTCTTAAAGGATAAGTTCACATTAGGAACATGTTACATGTTCCACCTGTTTTTTAGGGTAGAACAGGTAACATGTTCCCATAGCCACAGCAGCGCCCCTCCCCCCCCCCCCCCAACAGATAGTACGGGGAAACTTCTCCCCGTACTATCTGTCAGATTTGAAAACAGCACGACTGCGAGGGGCTCCACCAACACGGCCTGGTCAGTCACAAAGTTCTGTCAATGAGTGCCTACAAGTCCCGGCAGCCCTAGTGGTTGTTGGCTTGTAGCTTTCAATGAACTACCACAGCGCTGTGGAGTGCCGTGGTAGTTCATTGAAGCTTCCTCTCAGAAAATCTGCTTGATCATACATCCCTTATGACAAGCAGATATTCTGACAGGTCTGCAGGAGACCTGCATGGCATCAGCAATCTACTGATCACTGGTGCAATGCTTTCCAGGCTTCTTTGGACAAAAATAATAAATGCACATTTTTTTACCTGCAAAAAAATGTGCATTTATTATTTTTGTCCAAAAGGTGAACTTATCCTTTAAAGGTAGCGTGGGACAGCGGCAGCATAACACCAAAGTTGGAAATACCCAGAGGTAGGCAGGAACAGAGCCGGGGACTACAGTATATCAAGTTGATCTCTCTGCTGGGGTTTCTAAAGGACAACAGAAGCCAGAATCCATCTCTAACTGAAAGCTCAACTCCAGCCAGAATTATTTTTTCATTTTTTTTCCCATAATAAATTTTTATTTGGTTTTACCGATATAGCTACAACAACAAAAAAAAAAACAGAACAAAACAAAAATAGGACAGTTAAAAGCTACACAATTTCACAGTATAGGTGCTGCCGTAAAGTTTAACAAAGAGAAAAAAGGAAATATTGAATAATTCCTAACAATCCTACTAGTTCCACAAAATAATCACTTTAGAGTATTCAAGAAAAGGTTAAACATAATAATATCTTAGGTCACAGTTGTGAACCAGTCTGACCAGGGTTTCCAAGCATTGTCAAATCTGGCAATTCTATCGTTTAGGTAAGCTAAAGATTTCTCATAGATGAGGTGGGTCTGGACCAGGGGCGGACTGACAACTCATGGGGCCCCCGGGCAATAGGGGATCATGGGGCCCCCGTGTCCCTGCCCAAACTCAAAAAAGCCTATGAAAAAGGTACCAGGGGCATCTCATGGGGCCCCCTACTGACCCCCGGGCCCTCGGGCTGTGCCCGAGTTTCCAAATGGTCAGTCCGCCCCTGGTCTGGACTAGCTCAATGACTTCTTTTAGAGAAAGAGCCAAGTCTTTTTTCCAGTGTCTAGTAATGGTAAGTCTTAATACTAGAAGATATGTGTCACTAAGAGTCGATAATGGGTTGGATATGTGTCTATATTTATATTCAGAATGGCTAGTGTAGGATCTGGTTGTTTTAATATCCCAGTAATTTCTGATATCATGTGGAAAACTTTATACCAATAGCTTCTAATATTTTTACAAGTCCATAATATGTGTAATAGAGTACCAATCTGACCACAGTTTCTCCAGCATTGAGGACTATGTTCTGAGAATTTTGCCATTTGGTAAGGAGTTGGATACCATCTTGTGGAAATTTTGTGCGTTAGGTCCCAAAGGTTAACACATCTAGTAGCTGAAAACACATTCCTGAATGCACATTCCCACTGCCCATTAGAGACTTCAGTCTCTAATGCCCCGTACACACGATAAGAAAATTGTACAAAAAATTTAGCGGAACCACTGATCAAACTTATTTTCTCTTTGTTGACGAGCAGGATGTTTTAACCGATAACGATATTGTGATGAAAAAATCAAGTTGAACAATAGTGAAAAATGTTGTTTCGCATATGAACGACCGATTTTCTTTATGGTCATAGGAAAAAAAATCTATCACGTATGAGCGGAAACAGAAAATTACCCGGATGTTCATGTCCAAGCAATCTTCGTAAACACGAACAAAAAATCCAAATGTTAAAAGTAGATTGGCGTAATGAGATAATGAAACCAGAATTCTGCATATTATATTTTATGTATCACCATTTATGTATATAGATAATGTAATAAACTATATTATACTCATTGCTGGTAATTGTTGTGTATATCGCTCGTTCTGGCCGGAAGGGCATGGCTACAAGGTCACACGCACACTGCATCACTTCCACTGGTATGGAAGACGTCAACACTACGTATTGCCAGACGAACAATTTTTTTAGATTGGTTAATGTGGGCCACGATTTCGACCAACGAATGAACGCCTCTCAGTCGTTGGATGACCGATCGGTCGATTTTCTAATCGTGTATTCCCACCTTAAGTCTTTTTCCTACTTGATTAAGGGAGTAGTCTTGTTAAATTTTGATTTACATTGTAGAAGGTTATAAAATAGGGTCCTACCACCTGATTTAGGAGTAGCGGAGCTATAGAACTGTAAAGATACTTTAGGTATATATATTGTTTTTACTGGATGTTTTGATAGGCAACGACTGAGGTGTGTATAGGTTAATTTTTCAAAAGGGAGGAGGTTAAATTCTTTCATAAGGAATTCAAAATTTTTTATGTTGTTTTTAACACAAATATCTTGTATTGTGCATATGCCATTATGTTTCCAACTTGAGATATCTATGCTAGGTATTACATATTTTTTCAGTTTTGAATAGAGTAGTAAAGAGTTAGAACTTTCATTATGTTTTACCTGCTGTCTACGGGGAAGCCTTCCACTGTGTGTCTCCACGACCCGCTTGTGAAACCCGGTCAAGAAATGTGTAGCACTACCCCCTTAGGAGTTGCTGAAGTTTTGGGTCCCACCTTTAGTCTTGCACAGCCAGGCAACACACATTTCCTACAGATTTGCATTCCAGAGACAGTGAAACAGTCCTTGAGCTTGTTTTTTTTTAGTTTTATTAGGGGTATTGAACTTGGATGGGGATGAGGGACACATGGGATGCCAAGGAACTGTTAACTGAGGACAACTTCTTGGAAACTATGTAAAAGTCCACAGAGCTGGTAATTTTTCTTCTTGGAGAGCTCTCCAGCCTCTCCTGGTGTACCAACCCAAACCCCAGATAGTCCTTCTCTATCCAGCAATCTGAGGGCTTTCCCTGGACAAAGGGATCCAGTATCTGCCTCCTTAAGAGCACAGTCTAGCTGGGGGCTAGTCAGGTTTCCCACCCAAATGCCCTCGCCCTCATCTCCGGTCCAGGGGGTGTAGAAGTTCTCACTGTTCCTATCCTGAAAGCTGTAGCCTGGTAGCTGCCTTCAAGCCTTCTGCTGGGCTGCTCCTTCCTTAGCTCCACAGATGGTCCTCTCTCAGGGGGCCAGTGAGGTGCAGCTTTCCCTCTGTCCTGATCTCACCTGGAGGCAGACCCCACTGTGCCTCCTCCCAGGCTCACACCCACCTCCTGCTCTCACATCTTCCACCCAAACTCTCCTCTTTCACTGAGCAGGCTCACCTACTGTATGCTTAAGGACTGTATCATCCCCTTGCCAAGCCTCCTGCTTTGGAATTGGTCAGGGTCCCTTAAGCATACAGATCAGCCATTCCTCACCCCCGTCCACTGAGTTCTAGAGACTTCTCCAAGTTTCTAGATCAGTGGGAGGTACCAGAGAGCTGATCTGCAGAGCCTCTCAACCCTGACCCAAATTTGACCCCTTTGACTATCTCCCTGGTTGCTACTCAGCCTCCTATCTGAAAAAAAAAAAATGAACTTAGCTCCCCCTAGCGACCTACGAGGGTGCTACAAATGGATTGACAGTTTGGAGGTTTGATATTCCGCAGTACAGTCAGGAGCCAGTCAGAGTGGGGTGGCGCTGCCGGAAGGATTGAAATGGACAGGTTTGGGCTTTGTGGGGACAAACCTTTTGGTAAGTGACCTGTTTGTTTCCTGGTGTGCTGGAGGTACACCGAAGTTGCTGCAAAGAGGCAGTGAGTAACCAGCACTTGCTCAGATTAATCAGATGAACTTTGGGGATCAGTCACTTTAGTTTATTACACGTCACTTTTGCAGTGGTTGAACACTGAAGTGGCGGTCAGTAGGTTGAACTATTTTTTTGGTGTTATTATTTTATTTGTTTGCATGTGTCACTTTGATTTTGCATTGTATTTCATTCTCCACTTTATATACTGTAAATAAATTTCATTTTTCAGTTTATACTTATAAATTTGTATGTCGTGCTGATCAGAAATTGAGTGGGTTAGCACATCTATATTAATTTTGTTATTACTGAAGGGCTTTGCCTTGAGGCTCTGTCCTCTATGTCTGCATGTGCTTTGGAGTATCCTGCACCCTCAACCATCTACCCAACTATGTTCAAGTACTGCAAGAAATCTTCAAAAAGATTCCTCTAGAACTAGAGCATGGGTGTCCAACCTGCGGCCCTCCAGCTGTTGCGGAACTACAAATCTCCTCAGTCAGGCTTCCAATTCCTCATGGGTCTTGTAGTTCCGAAACAGCTTGAGGGCCACAGGTTGGACACCCTTGCCCTAGACTGAGCCAGCATTCTGTCAGTGTGCTCTGGAACTGGTATCTGGGCCTGGCAGCCTCTGAACAGGTAAGGGAGACCTGGAGACCTGGGTCATTTCCAGCCACCCAGCCACAACTATATTCAAAACAAACAAAAAAAAAAAAATTGGCTTGGGTTGGGCTTGAAATATCACTCTTGGTTGGACTACCATTTTAAATGTCTCCCTGCTGCCTAAGGGCTCTTCCACATGAAGTGGAGTCTACTCCGATCAGCAGATCCATGGGATCGGATGTCACCTCCATCCCTGTTCAGGTTATGCAGAGCATACACAGGCAGACAACGAGTCCTATGGGCAGCTGGGTGTGAATGGACTCTGCTGCCCGTTTACATCAGGCTAACTCCGATCCGGTCTGTCAAGTGCTTTTTTTTTCCAGACCTTGTAGGGCACAGAGGTAGGTGGGTGTAAAGCAGCCTACAGATTATGCAAATGTTCTTCCTTCCTGTGTTGATATGGGATGAGGGAATCCATCCCACTGTGCTATTGTGTTCTGCTTTCCCAGCCCGCAGAACACAATAATCACTGTTGGCTGCTATAGCTGCCGGCAGTGATCACATGCAAAAACTTGACAGGCTGGTTATATTGAAGTCGATCGGTGGAGCAACTTCAGTACAGAACTCGGAATATAAAGGTGCACCTGATAAAAAAATTGTTTATTGAAATCTTCACTATAAAAATTGCATGAATCACAACTCCATATACAGACAGAGGACAGTTAACATGTTTCACACAAAATCGTGCTTACTCATAACTTTTGGGCTAAATTTGCTAGGTTCACCAGTCCTGGACAAATTAGCAGTCATTTGAAATTTATGCCACTTGTTGTTTTTCCTTATAGTGGAATCATTGATTTGAAATTCTTTGGTGATCTTTGTAAATCCCTTGCAGACTTATAGGCATCCCCAAACTCCTTTCTGAGGACATCTTGGCATAATGACACCACACACGTAACTAGCAAAAAGAATACCAGACCCTAGATATATGAGGTTTAAATAAGACAGATTCTATCTGCATACTCCCTAAGGGCTCATTCAGACGTGCAGGTGAAGTGTGGTAAAAATAGACGGTCAAGGTCTAGCTTTACTTCCCCCTACTACCCCCCTTAGGGTGGTGCCCAACTGTAACTGAGCACCACAAACTGAAAACACTATTTAACGTACAACTTTAATATTCAAAGCAAACTCACCCATACATCTATGTCTCCAGGCTTTATTTTGTTGAAAAAAAGGCAGATGAGTTATGTAGCATTTACTTCCTGGAATCCATCCACCCTTAGATTAGACATGCAGGCAGGAGGGTGTGAGTAGCTGAGAAAACCCCTTCTCCTCCTCTCCTCCATATGAAAGACAAAAAAAAAAAAAAAAATAACCCACGCAGACTCCTGGGATGTATGACATGATGTTGGCTTAGCCCAGAAATCAGGAAGCAACTGGAGAAATGTAAAAAAAAAAAAAAAACGTTTAAAACAAGTGTATCACTACCCTCGTAGGAGCCACTGGATTTTGGGCCTATTTCCCCCCACACAGCACCCACAGCCAAGCCAACAGTATTTTCACACACTTCCAGATGGCTCAATAAACAGTATAGGGGTTTTATGTTTTGTGTTTATTTAGGAATAGTTAACTTGCATGGGGATTGGGAGTGCATGGGACACCCAGAACTGAAGAAAAATGGCAAACTCCAAACAAATGGCTGAGGACCTTTCAAGTCTCGGACTGCTCTAATCTAAACTGCAAATTGTG